TTTGTCTACCTGGTTTTAAGTGTGATTGCTGCTTTCCTGCTTGGTTTCGGCGTGGCTGTGGATGGGGGTGTTTGCCACCCGGGGACTGGAAATTAATTGAGTGGTTTGTGAGGTGTCGATGAGTTAGGGAGGGTACCAGGGGGCCCAAAGCAAAATTTATAGAAACTTAATTGAGGGTGTACACCTCCCTCAATGAATTTCCAAAAATCAGGTATGTGCCACCTCAATCAATTAAGTTTATTACGGTAATCGAGGGAGGGCCCCCAGGGCGCTATCTGACGTAGGGGTCATAAATTTACAAGTTTTCGGGCTTGGAAGACGTTTTTACAAGTTGGGGCACATGCGCGGGGCCTACGGTTTAGCTTCGTACGCATACACGCTGTGTTCATACGGGTGGGGTGGGGTGGGCTGGGGTCTAATTTCCTACGCTTGCACGCAGCCGTTTCATACGCGGTGGCCGCAAACATGCAGCATACTACCGCACTTCGTCTTTCGTTGTGTCTTGTTCTCTTGTTGCGTTTAAGCCGGTACTTTTCTGCTTTCAAGGGCCACCCTGTGTTGAACATTTTTTCCGCGATGGATCCGTGGGTTTTGGACTCTGCCTTGGCACTCAACCATCTGACCCTCTTTCTGACTTCGTTTCAGCCACTATTACCATCGTGGACAGAGGACCGTTTGAACGGAGGGGGCTAGGTGGTTGCTGTGGGTTCTTGTGGTCAGTTTGGGTTTCCCACTTCACGTCCTTACTTCACAGACGTTCGTCGAACCTCTATGGTATCTTGTTGTGCATACTTAGTGTCGCGACGTTTACTAGGTATACGTACTCGTTTACTAGGTTCTTTCAGTTTCGCTGGAACGCACAGGGCGATCTTTGGAAGGCGGTCGCCGGTTGATGCGTTGAAGAAAAGAAACGTCGCTTTCGCCTCCGCCCTTCCCCAAAGCAACCTTGTCTCCCCACTGGCACATCACGTGCCTTTTACATTGGGCCTGCCAATGCAAAAACCAGGTGACCTCTTGAGAGCCTATCTCAAAAAAACAACAAAGCCCAGGGTTTTGACCGTTTTGCGCCTGACGTCTTGCAAAGAAACGTTCGTTTCCCGCGGGGCCCCGGTTAACGTTGATGCCTTTTTGTGTTTGGTGTCGAAAAAAAGACAGGATTTGGAACAGTGAACCCAGAGGAAGAGCGAACAGTGCGAGTAAATGCTGTAACGGTTGATGCCGTATGAAAACATATTCCACTTACTGTATTGCCCCAGATAGTGAGAGCTATTGGGGTTTTTACTTCGAGTGTAGAAAGAGATGCCTGTGTGCTTTGGAGATTGTGTGCTGGCGCCGGCTGAGGGTGTTGCTGCAAGA